GGATCGGCGCGCGGCGGGCCCCCGCGGCACCCGGGCGCCACCTCCAAGCGGTGAAGGCGGCGCTCTCTTTCGCGCTCGGCGCGCTCGGCGGCCGGGCACATATCCGGGCAGATGCCCTGGGGTAGCTCGCAGCCGGGCATCGCTGGGCTGCGGGAAGAGGGTGGGCGCTCAGCAACCCTGGCAGGGAGGCGGCCGGACGCCCAATTTTTCCGAAGGCCCACCGGGTTCTCGGCCCGCGAGAGAGAAGGAGCCGGGCGGGCCCGGCTGAGCGCTTCCTCGCGCTCCAGCGGACCTCCGCCGTCCCCGCCGCCCTCTTAGCAGAAGTTGGTGAGCGCGGCCTCCCGAGATGCAAAGCGGTGTAGTCCGTCACGCCCACGCCGGTGAGCTCCACGGACACTACGCTCCCCATAATGCACCGCGACGGGGGCCTGGGCGAGCCCTGAAACGCCAGTGGGTAGTTCCTTCCGCAACCAACCGCTAAGCGAGGGGCGGGGCAGCAACATGGCCCCGCCTTTCCCGCCATGCTGTGCTTTGTCCCTTTAAAATATCTATAACTCTAGGACCTGAAAAATTTGTACACGTTTTCTCCTCTAGTTCGTATTTTGTGTGTGTGTGTGTGTGCGCGTGTGTTCTGGAGATTGAACCCAGGGCCCTTGCACTGAGTTACGTTCCCCTACCCTTTTCTTTTTATGGGGGTCTCTCCAAATTGTCCAGCCTGGGCTTGAATTTGTGATCTTCCTGTCTCAGCCTCCCAGAGTGGCGGTGTATGCCTGGTTTAGGTTTCTCCTTATCCCTGTTACCCAAAAAAACTGGCTTATTGGCCTACTGTACTGTACTACCTCCCTGAAGATATTCTTTCTATATCAGAAGTCAACAAACTCTACAGAGCCAGGTTGAAAACATTTGGGGATCTGCAGGTCTCAAATATTCAACTTTGGTAGGAGAATGAACACAGCCACAGACACTATGAGAATGGACCTGGTTGTGTTCTGACAGATTTTTATTCATAGATATTTAAAGTTTCACTTGTCACTGCATGTTTTTTCTTTCCCAACCATTAAAAAAATGTAAAAAACATTCTAGCTCATGGGTCTTACAAAAGAAGGCAGTGGGCCAGATGGGACTGTAGGCTGCAGTTTACAGACCACAGTTCTACGCTGGTAACTGATAGGCTGGAGCTGCTGCTGACACAGCAAGATAGAGACAGGCAGGATCAGAAGTGTGGGTCCCCGATCCCAAGGAGGTGGACAGGCAGGGAGCTGAGAAGGCATTCCTTTCCTCATTCTTGGTCCAGTTACACACAGAAATGGCCCCTGGAGTTACAAGACCAGGATGTGGGGTCAGGCGCTGGGGACAGGAGGAGGGAGGCTGGCAGTGCTTGAACTGCAGTCCCTGGGAGGGCCACTCCCCCTCAGGGTGGCAGCTGGGACAGGTGCAGGTGCAGGATCTCCTCTGCTCGCTTCAGGTACTCAGCTGCCTTCTTCTTCACTCCTTCCCGGCGGGCAGGGGATGGGTCACCTGCAGAGAGAGCCTGGCTCAGCTTAGGAACCTGGCCCAGCTGCTTCAGAATCCCAGAGTATCGTCCTGTGTCCCCGTCCTGAAAGCCAGTGTCTCTTCTCCCACTGGGACTATAGGAAGTTAAAAAAATCTCCCGATGTTATGTGGCTGGTCAGTGGGAAGCAGGGGCTCCTGGGGCTGTAACTGCCTTTTACTTTCCCTCCCCGCACAATCTGGACTCACACCCGCCCCTCTGTGCTCTGGCCCCCACTTACTGGGCACCCCTTGCAGCAGGATGTGCACGCCATCTCGGTAGGCTTGGAGGGCAGCAGGGTAGGCACCTGTCTTCTCATCCCGAAGGGCCTGGGTGATGCGCTCTGTGGCCTGACTCAGATAGGCAGGAGTGGGCCCTCTTTCCTCTTCCTCTTCCTCGTCCTGTCCTCCTGGCTCCCAGGGTTCCTGGTCCAGGCTTTTGGACTCTACTTCCATGGCTGCCAGTTCACCTACGTGGGTGGGGCTGGGACCTGTACCTTCTGCAACCAGACAGGGAAGACTCACTGGATGGGCTCTTCCTTTCCCTGGGCCCACTGCCAACACCCAGACTCCTCTCACCCATCGAGGGGCCAGTCTGTCCCCAGTGGAAGGCAGCAAAGCTTGGGCAACCCAGAAATCACCTCTGTATAGTGAATTATCTAGGCCCTCTTTGGTTGGTGGGGTTCAAGTACTTTTGCAAATTCAGTCTTACCCTCCTAATTATTTCTTTGAGTAAACATTCACATTAGCTTCTGGGTCACTGCTCCTATTTCCTTCCTGACTCCACTTGGTCTATACATCCAAGAATTCCCACTGCAAAATTCAACTTAAGGATGGTAAACCACCTACAGTGGCCAAAGATAGAAATGCTCCAAGCCTTGGAATCATCTCAGAATAATGAATTTAGAGAATCTCAGTGCATTTTTTGCAGTGCTGGAGATGGAACCCAGGGCCTCACAAATGCTAAGAGCTCTACCACCGAGCTACACCCAGCTTTTCTGAGATCTTGGATTTGACCTGAGGCTCCCAAATGAGGGGCTCATTATATTCCCAGGGCTGGCTCAGACATCTTCCGGCAGCAAAGACTGGGTGAGTTTTTGATGAAGAGAGTTTTGCAGAGAGTATAGGAGCAAAGAGTACCATGGTAGCCCATCCCAGGGTGGGCAGGGGTGGGCATCTCTCCAGCTCTACCAAGTGGGGAGTCCTGTGAGGGCCTCCTGCAGACAGACAAGAGGATGCCGCCCCTCCCAGTCTAAGTCCTCCCTGTGTTGCTCAGGGACAACGAGCAGAAGAGTTGAGGGCCCTGACTACCTGCGCCCAGGAGCTTGTACCTCTCGGCACACCAACTTCAACAGGGGGGACAGGGACAAGGACCCGGGAATTTTTCCATGGGCAGAGGGAAGGACTCATGGGCACTGCCTGGGAGGGCCTTACAAAACTCCCTCCAAGCAGCCCTCCACCGGGGCCCCCAGGGGGCTTGGCTGGGCAAGGACCAAGTGCCTGGACACCTGTCCTCAGAGGTCAGGTACAGCGGGGGCAGCCCCAGCAATACCACCTCCAGAACCTTCTTCCCCCTCCTCAACCCCAAGCAGGAAGGAGGGGAAGAAGCAGAGTAAGAAAGCAGCCAGGGGCCGGGGTATCGCTCAGTGGCACAAGCGCCTGCCTGGCAGTGGTACAAGCGCCTGCCTGGCAAGCACAAGGTCCTGAGCTCAATTTCTGGTACAAAAAAAAAAAAAAAAAAAAAAAAGTAGCCAGGGACCAAGGGTGTAGCTGAGGATTAGAGCGCTTCCCTAGATGTGTCCCTGGATTCCATCCCCACACACAAGAGCAGGAAGAAGAAGGAGAAAGAAATAGAAAGAAACAGGAGGAGGGGAAGAGGAGAAGAGGAGGGGAAGGAGAGAGGGAGCGGGAGGGAAAAGGAGGCTGATGATGAAGATGACAGTGAAGAAGAAAGAAAAGTAGCCAGGGTGTGGTGCTGTGCTTGTGGTCCCAGCTACTCTTGGGGCTGAAGCAGAAGGATCACTTGAGCTCATGAGTTTGAAGCCAGCATGGGCAACTTAGTGAGACGGTTTCAACAACAACAAAAAAAAGAGGCCAGGGGTGTAACCCAGGGACGGAATGCTTTCCAGACACACACAAGCCCCTGGGTAAAAGGCTGCTCCTCACACTCTGGTCAGCAGGCCCGCGAGCTGGGTCACTGGTCAGGCCGGAGCCAGTGAGGCTGCGGGCAAGTTGGGAAGCTGACATCCTGACTCGGACTGCCCACACCTTTCCTGTCCCTGTGTGAGACTTCAGGTTCCTGAAACTGATCCAGAAGTCCAGGGTCTTCTGGGCCAAGAAGGAAAGCCAACAAAAAGGGCTTAAAAACACTCTTGAAGAATCAAAAAAGTAACTATTAAATGGTTCTCCTGAAGTGACATCAGATCCAGATTGCAGTTAGAGCATAAATTTGATGAGTCTCAGGCTGAAAATGCCCAGTGTCTCTGCACTGCAGACTGTCAGGTCCGAGGTCTCAGAGAAGGAAGGCGCTCAGGACCCTCATCTGCACAGCAGAGCCTTTCTGTCTCTGTGACCCCTAGGCCAGCAGCGGCTCCAGGTCTCCAGAGGGGCTTCCCATGGCTACAGCTGAAACCCCCCAGAGCAATGTGGGCCTGTTCCCCGGGTGCTTTCAGAGGAGGGACCACCGCGGGAAACAGTGCGGCTCCTTTTTCCCCCCGCGCTCACCATACAGGGGCGTCCAGCTCTCCAGACCACCAGCCCTGGGTTGGGGCTGCGGCACCTGGGAAAGAGCTTCAGATGCGCACCGAGGCTGCCCACTCTGCGGGGTGCGTTGCCCAGGGTGCCCTTCCTGGATTTACACAGGCGCCATCCAGGCTGGCGGGGGCCTAGCCTCCCTCCCTGGCCCCAGGAGCACCTACCCCAGCCTCTGCTCCATCTACCTCCACTCATTACCTTCCTTAGAGAAGGGGTCAAAAAGGGCGAGCTCAGCCTCAGAGAGGGGACCCCTGGCAGGGGAGCCTGACGTCTCCTCCGCGCTACCACAGCTGAAGAGGAGATCCAAGGCCTCCTGTGCAGGGCTGGATGGTGGGGGGTCCGCTGAGGAGAGACCAGCAGGGACATCAGTGCCACACTTACCACTGCCCAGCTGTCAAACTGGAACCACCTTCTCACTGAGTCCTTCAGCAACCATGCGTGTAGAACAAGCCTATTAGGATTTGTGCCCATTTTACAGATAAAGAAACTAAAGCTCAGAGAAGGAAAATAACCCGTCCAAAGTTCTTCAGTGGCTAAGTGGCAGAGCTGAGCCCAGGCTTTTCAGTAAGATCACTGAGGCGGAAGTATGACTCCCCACATCCCACCTGGGACCCCCGCCCCAGTCCTGAGTCCCTCCCCAGTTCTGATGTACCTGGCACCTCCAACTCTTCCAGGCCCCTTCCTTCCACAGGGAGTGGCTGGGGGAGCCGGGGATCATCGGGGGGTGGCGTGGGGATCAGAGGGGGTGGCAGGATGTGCAGGTCCCTGGATACTTCGGAGGGCCTTGTCACCTCCCCACCCTGCAGGACAGAAAGGCCAGTGGTGGGGATCAGGGGTGCGGTGTGGCAGGCAGGCTTCCCAGGCGCGGAGGGGTGGAAGGGTGGAAGAACGGCACGCGTACCCGGAAGAACTCTTTGAGTTGGGGGCTGTTGTTGAGCGCAGGGATGTGCACAGTGAAGCGAAGCAAGTCCTCAGCCGCCTTTCGCCGTTCCTCAATCACCGAGGCCTCAAACCGGCCTGCAGGGACAAGTGGGCAACAGTGACCACAGGGGCTTCTGGCCCCGAAGCCCGCTGTCCTGCTTGGACCTGGGAAGCTCTGAGCATGTTCTGGTCTCCTCCCGACTCTCCCTGGGGCCTTCCCCGGCTCCTCCGGGAGGGAGCCACCTCCTCATGCATTTTCACAGGGGTTTACTGAGCACTGCTGTGCTGGGTTCAGGGATGTGCAAGAAAGAAGCACAGCCCCTGGCCTCAAGGATTTCTTTCTTT